GAACCGCCCCCCGCAGCTCAGTGCCTGCCAGCAGCTAACCCCACCAACCGTGGAAGAGGCAGGCAGGCTCTGGGAGGAAAAAAGGATCAGGCCCCTCACTGCTTTTTGTTTCCCCCCTGGTAGAGCCTGCCCACAGCAGCGGGGAAGGAGGGGGGAAGGTGGGTTAGCTGATGAGAGGCCATCACTGTGACATGACAGAAGTCCCTAATTTGAAACAGTGGCTTTTTAATCAACACAATTAATAACCCACTGTTTCAATTTAGGGAGAACTAAACCCCTGTCACATGTACAAGCAGCCTTAAAGACTAACTTGTTCAGAAAGTCATACATTCCTGATCAGTGTGTGGGGCAGAGGCGGCTGCCGGGGGGCGGAGGCGCCTGCCACTTCACACTGGGCTTTATCCCCCAAGCCCTGTGCACAGACTGGGGGGACACGTGGCCCCTGGGCCTCCGCTGGGGTGCGTGCAGTGCAGAAGCCTCCCCGCAGCCCTGGATGAGCCACCCCGCATGCAGATCCGGGGACACGTGTTCCCCATGCCCTCCCAGGCTGTGGGTCCCCCCCCTCCCCACACCCTCCAGACGAGCCACTCATGGCTTCGTCCTGTGCCCCCCCGGCTGTCTGCTCCACTCCCGCACCACCGTGGGGGGGGGAAGAGGGCAGGTCAAGGCCCCAGCAGTGAGGGAGGGAGCAGGGCACAGGCAGAAGCAGAGACTGGGGAGAGTGGGGGTCAAGCAGAGACCTGAGGGGCACATGCCCCCAGACCTCCGCTTGTCCCACCACCCGGCCCGGCCCACTCTCCCCAGTCCCTGCTCCCATCTGTGCCCCGCTCTCTCCCTCACCACTGGGGCCTCAATCTGCCCAGCCCCCCCATGGCCCTTTCCCCTCCCCCACCCTTTTCCCCACAGACTGACCTTCTGGGGGTCGCACCCCCAAATAATTGTTTTCTCTCTCCGCCTCAATCTGCACCCTGCTTCCCTCCCCACAGGCTGATCTATGGGGGGAGAGGGGGGTGGCAGCAGCACAGGGTAGATATTAGGTTGTTTTTTAATTCGAAAAGTGATCTCCTACCCAAAAAGGGTAGAGACCACTGGGCTAGAAAATGGCTAGAGAACGGTTTTTTAAGGAATAAAAAATGTATCCAATGAAACTATCATTTTAAAAAATATCTTCACAGGTTTGCAGGAAAGACTATTTTAAAGTAATCAAAAAGGGAACTGACAGTTATTGGAAAATCTGTGTTCTAAATATTAAGCAAAGCTCAAGAAACATATTTAAGGCATGCTTTTAAGCTTTCAAGAAAAACTCTTAAGAGCTGGACAAATATTTTCTATCCATTCTGGCTCCCCTTGTTAAGGATGCTATTCTTTGGACTGTCTGTGACTATTGTAATGCAGAACTATTCATGGTGGGAAGCAGAGGTTTGGATTGTAGTCATAGTTTCAGTATATAAAGCCTTTGTCCCATCAGCAGATCCATCCCTCTGTCACTTTTATTCCCCATTTCTTGGCAGGAATAATCTGCACCAGGAAACAGAAGACCCAACTTTAATTATTGAGTCTATAGTAGTCTTTTCATAATACGCATTAGGGGCATCTTGAGCCTTTTTTTCTGCATAACTTATAATTTAAATGTGATGAAATGCAAGTTTAAATCCATGAATAAAATCAATCATGAATAGGGCCCTAAATTGGACAAGCCTGAAACTGCAAGGAAAGCTGAATTCTGTTCTCCATAATTAGATGTACTTAAGAAAAGTCACCCAAAAATTAGTGTGTCAGATATTTTTTTTCCAGTTTTGCATTATGAGTGCTCATCTCTTCATTTCAGGAATGTTCATTACTAGTGTACAGCAAAATAAAAGAAAAACACTGTAAACAATAGAGTCCCTTATGGACATCAACCCAACCATAGATCTTGTCCAGGATGTGCAGACAAAAATCACAGCTGTTTTTTGTTGTGTTCACTAATCCTTGGTAACATTTAATGATTGTTTGTTTTGAGAATAAATGTAATGCAGGCGCTAAGGACTTTGTATTTCCCAGTGTGCCTATGATTGGAAAACTTCTGAAGCAGGTAATGTTATTAAGACAAACCCTCCAAAACAACCACAAATCAAAAGACACACATTCATTTTCAAGGCACAACAAAATGATATTAATAATAAAGAAAAACATGCTTTACAGTGAGATTAATCTGTTTTCATTGTTCATGGGCTTGCATTATAAAAATCTCTGGAGTCTACTCTATACAACATAATGAGTCTAGTCCATGCTACACGGGGATGGCTAACAGAGCTATATGTATTGCTTAATGTTATCCACTCACCTTGCTAACAACTCAAAACAATGGGTGCACTGGGAGTGGTATCAGACTTTGCAGCAGAAGAAATTATGATTACTAATGATGTTCTACTTCTTTTTCTAGGGAGTTTCATAAATTTGGGCTGTTTATGGAGATTTTATGCAAAAGTAAAATATTTATTTAGGAATATTCACAATGTTCAAATCACTAAACAAAGTTCATTAAACCAATTTTCTTCTAATTTGCTGTAATCTCTCTCATATTTTATACATATCATTTGTTAAATCAATATATTCATAATGACTAAATAAAAAGGTGACTGAATACAACTTTATGGCAAATGCTAATAAGAAATTTTAACATTTTAATGTAATTAAATGGTAATATGCAAAAATTAATAACAAACTTTCCTTCCTAATTGTAAATGATAAAAAAGCAACTTTGGACAATAAATTACATACAGCCAGCCAGCCAAGATTTATCTCATATTTCTGTAAGGACCACAACATCCTTATTCACTGGTGATAAACTCAGGGGGCGGGGTAAAGAGGGGGTGTCTCTGGTCTTTTGCTGAAAACTCTACTAACCACGTGGCCCTGTAATTTGATATGTCAACAACACTACATTGGCTTTAATCTGGTCATAACACGAGGCCCATCCCTACTCCAGACTTACCTTGCTAACTACCATTAACAGTTACATTGGTATCCTCCACATACTAAAGAAAAATGAAAGAAGTGTTAGTAATGTAATCCGGATCATTAAAGGAGCTGCATCCTTTTAACCATGTGAAATCTATGAATGCAACATACGCTGTGCTGAGAAGAGGAAGGTTTTTAGGTTGGCTTTACAATGGATAAAGTAAGTACATCTCCACTTCTACAGGTCCAAAAAATCAGACCGTTATTAGTTGCACTATCTTGCATAAAAACTGGGGAGGACTATCTGCAAATCCTGAAGTGTGGGGAAATAAAGCTAGTGAGTGAGATTTTTAATGAGTATAAAAAGAAATGATACCTATTTTATTATGAAATAGTCCTTAGATAGGTATAGTGAGGTAAACAAGGGGACATTAAAAGACCTTGTTAAGTTCCATCAGCCATTTTTGATTTACATCTTATCCTTTGAACTAAGCAAGAAGCCTCACCGCAGTACTAATTGAATTGAGCATTGTTCTGGCACAACAATCAGATAGTGTTACAAGGAAATTAAAAGTATCATCTGATATGCCACTTGTACTTGTAAGTTTAAGACGCCTGAAGGAAATTAAAACCTCACAAGGGGGAGCTAATGATGGTTATAACTTTGTGAAGGCTTAAAATGGAAAGTATCTTAACATACGGTCTGCAACATTTACTGTGCTTACAAGCATACCAGGTAACGTTATGTATTAACTATACAGTTCAGAGAGAAGGGGGATGGAACGCTGACTCAAGTTAATGGTGTCTTAACAAATACTGAGGACAACAAACTGGTCCAAAACTAATAATGTTGTTAGGTATCTTATTACTCAGGAAAGCACAATTTATTAAGAATAGCAATGTGTGCACTTTTTAATCTATGAACAATGGCATAGCAATTCTGAAGCTAGTAGAGTATGTCAATTCTGATATCAAAGTATAGGCATATGCTTTCTCTAAAAGAAAAAGATATATTTCATAAATGCCCATGACTAAAAAATAGCTTGTTCAATCAGATTCATAGTTCTGAAATAAATCATTCAAACCATAATAAATATCAGGCATTTTTTTAATATAATTTAGGAGGAAATGGTCTTTCAGCCTAAAGAGCTTTTGCTATTATTCCAGAACACAATCTAAACTGTACCATTCTTACCTCAATCAATTTTCTTTCATAAGAACTAGCTAGTTCTTCATTGTTTTCCACTTGCTTTTGCTCAGGAATGGTAAATTCACCTTCAATGTTCCAAAGGTTGGGCAGAACTAAAATAAAAAAAGATTCATTAAACTGAAATGGAAATTACTGTAGTGAATAGGTAAATAATCTTTTCAGAATGAATACCTTCAAAAATCCTTTATCGAAATATTGAACACCAATAAAAAAGTAACTTAAATACAAAAGGGGTTTTTTTTCTTGGTTTTTTTTTAAACCAATATTTAAGTGGCTCCTCATAACTTAACAGTAAAACACAAAATGTAATAAAAACTCAGGTAATGGCAAATAAGTAGTATTAATGTGTTAAGTATGTTGTAGGCACATACACAATAACTGTATGCTAAAATAAGACACAATTTGTTAATTAAATTTCCTAAAAGCCCTGTCCTAAAATTCTGTAACTCTTAAGTTAAGGCTACACAGTTTTGAAAATAGTTAATTATAATTCCTTTTTAAAAGTACCTTAGAGAAACTAATGAAGCATTGCCCAGGCAAAGAGGAGGAAAACTCCCTAAATTTGACTGAATTATATCTGATAAATCTGAAATTATGACCCTCTCCTCCCCTCCCAGCCCCTCCCTACCCAAAGAGTCCATCAACATTTGGAAAGTAAATTTAGAAAGTCTACAGGCTAACCAAAATGGAGTCTAACCATAAGGGATAACAATTGAAAATTATTTTTTTGGTCCAATAAACAATCAGCTTTTCAGAGTTATACATTAGTTCTGAATCAAATGACTGACAATTTAAAACCCTTCTATTTGTTTTTTTAATAATATCACTGAATTTAGGGAAAAAACAAGGTTTCAAAATATTTGGAAACAACTTGAACTTAAATCAATAATTATATTATAAAAGTTTCTAACTTTTTCGTATCAGTATTCTGAATCATCATACTGGCATAATTTATAGTTAATACATTTTCAGTCTTACATAAAAAAGTAGTAGCATGTTCTTAAGCATAAATTGCTATAGCACTTAGGGGACAACTATGAAAACAAGATCTTCTCATAGATGAAACCTTTATGATTTCTTTAAAATGAGGTACGCTGCAGAAATGAGACTACATAGAAAATGCCAATTTACTCAACAGATGTTTCCTTTGTATCTGCTTTGAAAAAGGACACAATGACCTAGTTTTATTCCTTTTCCCCTGGATGATACTATGGGAGAGCAAACTGGATTGAGTTGTCTTTCACATCAACTACCATACTCTAGGCTAAACTAAGATTCCAAATGTATTATTAGTGATGATGATGCACAAGAAGGAACTCACATAGCTTGATTATCACAATTCAAGCTGAAGTTGTAAGACTGGAAGAAGAATTATCAACATGTGGATATAAAATATGGTTTTAAAATGGTAATTTGTCAAACTGCATGCTCCTAATGTACCTGTGGCACTTGAAAAATGTGCAAGTTGCAGACAACAATCTGCTGTGAAAAAATGCATAATTACCACCATTAACATCACCAAGGCTCACAACATTCTGATTTACAAAAAGATTCATTCTCAAATTGGTACCGCATTTACAGAGATTCTACTTATCCTTTACTCATGTCTTAACAACAACATCATTCAAATAAAAGAAATTAAGGAAAAGATTACCAAAACAAAGCAAATTATAAAGCAAGAACAAAGCAAATCATTTTCTAGATACTGAAAATTATTTTTCAGGTGAAAAGAGTTTACTTCTGAAAGGTACAGCAGTTATTTTTCATTGAGTTTCTTTGTACCTAGAATAGCTGTAGGGTTCAGTCCTGAAGACACTGCCAAAAGTATTCTAAAATTACCTGAAGCACTCCAGAAGACAAAGGTAACAGGTCTTTTATTCATCTCTACAGAACACCAAGAATTTAACTTTTCCTTAAATAGTTAATCAATAAAATGTAAGACTTTAGAGAACTGGAGAGCACATATTTAATTGTTTTTCAGAACAGGTTTGATTCCCATTTGATAACCAAATTTTATCCCCTAAACTTCACACAGATTATAATTACTCAATTACCTTGGACATATGAAAGTTAATAAAAACACGCTAAAATTAAACAAATTAACTAGTACCTGTGCACCAGAGGGAGCACTTTTTGGCACAGAACAACAGTGATACAGATGGTTAATCTTATTTAATATCCACTCTTGCTTGTTTTGCAACTACTGAGTCCAGATATGAACTATAATATTTGACTGTGCTTCTCAACTAGAAAACCAGTAAACAGAAAAGAGTCTTACACCTCCATGACTGAAAAAAAATGGAACAGAAAATGGAAGTTACCCTAATAAGATAAAATGGGCAAATTATGGTGTTATCATTACTTTACTAATAGAGAAAGATAGTGTGATTCAGAACAGATTCAAAAGTCTCAGACAAATTAGGTTCTTTACATAATTTTATGAAGAATGGAATTTACTGTAAACAAAACAAAAGTACTATAGGAAGTAGAACAAGAGACTGATTTTAGAAACTGATTGAGAGGAAAAGACAAGAGACTAATTTCTGAAACTGAGGGGACAAACATTCAAAAGGAAGAAAGTTTCCATTTTTGCTAATATTAAAGCAGCACAGCATTAGGAGACAGGAATGAGATTGTGAAAAGAAGTCATAAGCACCAAGATTTCAGTTAGCCAGAGAAACAAGCATGTGTATAAATTTTGCTTTTCTAATCTAAAATTTAGACAGCACAAAAGCCCAAGCTTAAAAAAAAAAAGCTAAATTGCAAAGCAAAACAAAAAGATGACTGTGTCTCCTGAACCACATAAGCAGAAATGCTTAAGTACGTGTAAAAATACAAAGGGGAATAAAAAAGGGCTCCCAGACAAATTACAAATGTCTAGTAAATATGCATAGCAAAGAGGGGGGAAAAAGCCATCAGGAACAAAACAACTAAATATGGTGATAAATGAAATACTATGAATAATCACTGAAAAGAAAAGATATGTGAATCCATTTAGTTCATGATGAGTGGTATATCAGAATACAAGAAATGGCAAGAAGTTAAAAAAACTGATAGGAAGGAAGGATTCTGAGGAGATGAATAGAGGAAAAGAATTACCAGCTGTCAGTTACCAATGAGATACCTCATATGAGGTAATAAAGGACCTGGTGCCAAGAGACAAACATTGCTGAGAATCTGAATAACCTCATTATAAAAAAAGTCCCAGCATACATACATTAAGGAGGACAAAGTGCAGCAGAATACATTTTATAGCAGACAAAAAAAATAGCACATGAAAATGAGGGCCACATGAAGCTGGATTTAATAAAAAGATAGAGAAGCAAATTACCTGCAACCAGGAGTTTCACAATGCCTGGAAAAATATGTTATTTTGTAATTTATGCTCAAATTATTAGAATCCCTGGATTCATAGGCTCCAGTGCGCCTGGAGGCCGAGAACACAGATCAGCTGCTGCTCCCAGTCATGGGGGCGCATCAGAGCCCTTGACTCTGCTGAGCCCTGGTGCCTGGGAACATCAGCTGATCAGGGCTCCCAGGCCAGGTACAGACAGACTTTACTGTTTTGTCAGTATAAGTGATAGGAAATATACCCATAACAGAACAGAAGTTCAGCACAATATTGGTTTAAAAATGGCAGAACCTGGTTTAAGATTTGCCCCCCTCCTACCACACTATCAAAGGGTGAATGTGTGTTCTGTTCACTACCAATCTAAAAGATGCCACTTATAAAAAAGTTGTGCGACTTAGATTGATTCCGCCTCGGGCTTTTTGAATATACATACCTAGCCCCAGGCTCTAGGGCACAGCCGGAGTCGGAGGTTGGGAGATGCAGTCAGCTAATCTGCACTTCTAGCCTCAGGAAAGCATGGGAGTCAAGGGCTCCCATTCACCCCCAAGACCGGGACCCCAATCAGCCTGTGCAATTTGAGGCATGATGGGAACCAGCCACAAAGGTTTTACTCATTTTTTGGTGTAATAACTCTGTGGTTAATTTATTGTTTTATCATGCCATTAATTGCATAAATCAAGGGGCAGGCAAAATATGGCCCACGGGCTGGATGTGGCCCGCCAGTCACTTCCATCTGACCCATGGGGCAACTCTGTAACCTGTCAGCCCTGGCTCTGATCTACCCCTCTGCAAGCTTGTGCGTCTCTGTAGGAGGTGTGCTTATGATTGCTAAGCAACCAACCCCCACCCCAGCCCGGCCTGACCCGCCTCAGCCCAAAGCTAGGGGACACTAGAAACAAGAAACTTCTGCCTGGCAGAGGCTCTTTCCTGGCAACTCCATGCTTGTTTCCAGCCCTCCCTGCTTGTGAGTGCGGGAATTCAGGTGAGGGCCCCACCTGGCCAGAGCCAGGGATGTTTGTTTGAGGAAAGGGAGTGGAAGCGCAGGCTGCACTATGGGGCCGGGCTGGACTGGCACCACATCTGCAGGAGCGTGGGAGCTGCATGCTATAGGGATGGGTCTGGCTGGCCCCACACACTGCTACCACCTGCAGCCAAGGACTTGGGCAGGAGCACGAGAGCTGCATTTACAGGGTCAGTCAAGCTAGCCCTGCATACTGCTGCCCTGTGCAGCCAGGGACTCAGGCAGGAGAACAGCAGCTGCTTGTTTTGGGGCCAGGTGGGGCTGGCCACACACTCTGCCACCATGTGTAGCCAAGGATTTGGGTGGGAGCACTATTGGTCTGGGTGGGGCTGGCCCTGCATGCTGCTGCCATATGCAGCCAGGGACTTGGGTGGGAGCTGTGTGTTACGGGGCTGGATGGGGCTGGCCCCACATGCTGCCACCACCTGTAGCAGGGAAGTGGTGTGGGAGCACAGGGAGCTGCACGCTATAGGGCCAGAAGGGCCTGTCCTGGCTCGCTCCTACCACATGCAGCTCCAAGGGACTCCAAGGACCCCCCAGGCCCAACCACCCACACCCTCCCAAAGTCCCCACACACATTCCTATGCCTCCAACATAACTCCACACACAACCTCACACCCTCCCACACCATACCCCAAACACACCCACACCCTCCATCATACTCACACCCCACCTCACTACACCCCCCCACCCACACAAACAATATACGAGTAAGACTG